AAAAATGTAATTAATCAATCAAGGATCATACTATCGTTGAGTCAACACTAAACCCTACGATAGTATTACTATCCTAAATAAAATATTAAATAGTTTTAGAAATAGCTATACGTAAAGATATAATGTAAAATAGTAAAACCTTTCTAATTTATTATATAAAAATCTTATCAAAATGGAACATTTGCAGGACAGGAAAGATGACATCTAGCACGTTTGGATTTATTTATATATAAAAACCTAACATAAACAACTTACCAAGGTGTGATTATATAAACTAAATATTGTAATACCGTCTAAAATATGATCCGATTACTCTGTGCGACAGTGAAATTATAATAAAAAAATTGACACCAAATTTTGGTTCTATAGGCTCACAGAAATCTATACCTAAAGGGGTTTTGCTAGCTAGGCTCAATTACGTTATATACAGGGTGCCCAAGGATCGGTTTGCCAATTATAGGAAAAACCTTTGCATTAAACGTTTAATGTAAAAAAATATTTATTTTAAATTCCTGATTGAGAATTCCATAAAAAAATTTGAATTAAATGTACAGGGTGCTCAGAAATTAAGAATACAGGGTGCCCCAGGATCGGTTTGCCAATTATAGGAAAAACCTTTGCATTAAACGTTTAATGTAAAAAAATATTTATTTTAAATTCCTGATTGAGAATTCCATAAAAAAATTTGAATTAAATGTACAGGGTGCTCAGAAATTAAGAAAACATGAAAATGCTTTAAAAGAGAACTTAGAGAAGTACCTTTATTTATTATTTTTTGGACACATTTTATAAGAAAGTTGTTGACAATTAAAATTTAAGTGTAAATACAAAATAATCTTTTTTTCTACTCCTACCTTTGCCCATTGTACATGTTTCCATGACGCTAAGTAATTTTTTGAATACACATTGTGACGATGGTGTTTTAGTCACGGGCTAAAGTCAGCAGCAGTAGCTTTTTAGACTTTTTAAACACGGGCAGAAGTTAGCTTTAAGTTAGTTGACAGTTGTAAAATGTCACAGTCGTCAAAATAAAGTGCCCTTCTTGTGAAATATTACTAAAATGTGGAAATTATTTTTTTATCTTAATACAAAAATACAGAATTATTAAATAGTTTTTTAACACCACTCTTTTATATGTACGATTGTAGGTTCTGTCCTTTTTATTTATTTTGACGTGAGCAGAAGAACATCCTCTTTACTTTTACTGTGAAAAACTGCTTTGCTTACCTGTTTTTTTATGTTTAATCTTCACTTACCTTGTAATATTTTTAAATGCTTTAATGTAATTTTTATTTTAATAAAACTCTATTCATTTCTATATTTAAACGCTTGTCCATTTTAAATAGAAAATTTGTATTTTTTAAAGGAAAATTTGACAAACTGACACTGACATTTTGATAACCGGAAAACATTCCTAACACCAATTTTGGTTAAGTACCTAGGTTAGGGTGTCCCTTATTTTTATTTTTTTACGCATACCCTCTAATTATATTTATTACTTGTTTATATACTCCCAGTAAAAATTTCATCTCATTCTATAAACGGAAACCCGTGCCGACTTGCATCTGAACCCTCCGTTAGCCAACGTTAGGAGCGCGGTATTTTGTAACAGAGAAACACTTTAAAAAGAAGATATACTTTATGGCTGTATTTTTCTAATGATTTTATTAAATATGATTACTTATTAATATTATTGCTTTTGATTTTATCATTTGTTTCACTAATTTAGTTGATTTTATCCCTTAAATATATTAATATACTAATTAGTATTGCTAAAATATACTGTTATATGAAATTTCACTTTTTATAAGCATTTCTTTTCTTGATGTCATCCCAAAAATATTTCAGACAGTTCAATAAGTTTTCGGTAGTCATCTCTCACAATATACTCTTTTAGTTATTTAGAGTAAAACCCATTAAGTTTATCAATTTCAGAGTTTACGGCCTATTTACCAGACCCTTTCGGGTAACTAGCCACTCCCTGTGAAAATATACATTTTTATCAAAGTATACACATAAATAAAACTATATTTTAACATTTGTCAATAATTTATAACATAAGGGTCACATAATAACAAACACAAAATGACTTACGATCGAAGACCTCGCGACCAACCGTGTTACAAAATACCGCGCGCCTAACGTTGCTAACGGAGGGTTCAGATGCAAGTCGGCACGGGTTCCCGTTTATAGAATGAGCTGAAATTTTTACTGGGAGTATATAAACACGTAATAAATATAATTAGAGGGTATGCGTAAAAAAAATAAAAATAAGGGACACCCTAACCTAGGTACTTAATTTTTGTATTACTTAATTTATGTATTAATGACGCTCTATACAAATATTTTAATTGATTAATATTAAAAAATATTTTTTATTATGTTTGTCGAAGTTTATCAAACTTGATACATAATAAACTATTATTTTAACATTTAATTTTAAATAATAAATTAATTAAATGTTAATAATATATTATGTATCAAGTTTGATAAACGCCATTTTATTCACGAATTTTAATTAAGCACGAGCGAATTTGTGACTAAAATGGCGTTTATCAAACTTGATACATAATAAACTTTTATTTTAAAATTTAATTTTAAATAATAAATTAATTAAATGTTAATAATATATTATGTATCAAGTTTGAAAAACGCCATTTTATTCACGAATTCTAATTAAGCACGAGCGAGCTTGCGAGCGAGTGTTTAATTTAATGATTGTCTAGAAAAGTTTATAAATGAGTTGCATGCTATAATTTTTCTACGACAAATAGTTATTATTATCCAAAATTGATTTAAATTAAATATTTGTATAGAGCAACATCCATAAAAAAGTAACTCGCTTAAGAAATTCTAACTTGGGAATCTGTGTTACTGACGCGCCGGTCAAAATGTCAAATTTATATGCTTAAATCGAAATTTATCACTTAAAAATGGACTAACAACCGTTTAAATCTAATATAGAAGCAGTTTTTCACAGTGAAATTAAAGATGTTTTATGAGCACCTCACGATGGAGTCTCCACCCGAAATTTTTAATGCTGTATAAGTTAAATATAGTTTACAGGTCAGTACAAACTTACAAACATATACATAAACTTTTAAAATAGGTATTGGCCCTGAAAAACCATTTTTTACTTTTTTATTTTTGTATTTACACAGGAAGAAAAACTGTACGTAAAATTAATAAACTGCATTGTCGTCAAATTTTGTACATTAATATTAATAACTAAGTACATTAAAATAATAAACTAGCCAACATTAAAAACGATCAATACAAAACATAAAAATTAGTTATATCCATCATTAATATAATATAAAAATTTATTGAATTAACTATAATAATAATTGACGATCATTAAAGGATGTTCTTTATCTTTAAAACAATAAACTTTTTGTCATTGATCCATGAACATCAAACATAAATAGTAATAAACAGTCTTCATTGTTCCAACGGTAATTAAACATTGATTTTACAACTTAATCATTCAATTCTAAAAACGCGTAAAAATTAATGCTGCCGTACTATACGATGAATGCAATTTTTATCTTCAGTCAGTCTTATACCGTTAAAAGGTTAGTTCCGCTTTTAACCCTAAAGTTTTATTAGTGAAATTGTGATTAATATAAGGAGTGAACATTGGAGAAGCCAAGGTGTGTAGGTTGTGAAGTTATTTTTAAACATTTTTGACTTTTTAAATATTTTTTTTTATTTTTAAGTTTTAAAATATATACTTTAAGTAATATTTTAAATATAATAATTTAGGATTTCATGTAATTAAGGCGGTCGATATATGTTTTAAAATTATTTATAAATATATATAATATAATATAAATATATTTAATCTTGGTTTTTACAGGAAAGCAGAATGTTTTGAAACTTTTTGGTAAGAGCATTTTGTTAACCTCTTGAGAGCCCAAAGGTTCATATTATTTGTAAATTTCTCTTGCAATAAAAAAATGTATTCACCAAAAACGTCTTTATTTTAAAGAAACCTCTTTTGTGATTGATTGCTTGGTAATTTTTATAAGATATTTTTTTCCTATTTCTATGCTTCTAAAACAAAATGTACCCACGTACCCAGTAAACCTTTATTTTAAATAGAAAGGTAATTAAATTTGTCAAATAATTTTAATTGGGTTCGTCTTGGATTTTATGTAAATTTAAGTAAATCATAAACTAATGCCTTTTTGTTCGTAGTATTAATAACCAGGGATCATAGATTTGTGGTAATTGTTTATTGATTCAATGAAAAATAATCATAAACTAATGTCTACCGTTTATAATAATAATAACATGGTTTCTATGTTATCTATGTTCTCTGTTTATTGATTTAACGTCATAAACTTATGTCCAACGGTCATTATATTAACAACCGCTGTTCATATATGATTTACAGATCCATGCTCATAGTTTATTAATTTAACGTACAGGATTCATAAGCTAATGCAAATCTGTTTATCGTATTAATTACTGTTAAACATAGATCCATGCTCATTATTCATTAATTTAACGTACAGCAATCGAAACTTAATGAATAAGAAAATTTACGAACGACTGTTCGTTGTTTTAACAACACGTCGACTGAAAATTAATGTTGTCGTTTATTGATTTGATGTACTTTTTTAATAATATTACGTACCTTTTGCGTTCAGTGAAGATAATAAAATAATTTCATTATTATTTTTATGAACTTAAAACTTACTTCCGCATGTGACTAAAAACCTGTTGCTAACTTCAGCCCGTGACTAAAATGCCATAAAGCCACAAGCATGTTCATGTTTTCTTAATTTATAAGCTTGCTGTACATTTAATTTTCGTAAAACAATTAATAAAAGAGTTTTTATATTGGCTAAGCTGGCAAAACTCCTTGGGTGATCGATTTCTGTGGGCCTATATTACCGATATAAGGTCAAATTTTTGTTTTTTAATTTGATTTTACTTGAATTGACACAATTTTACCGTCTTTAATAAAGCACATATACTTTTTAGCATCTCACCGGTGTTAAGGTGTCTTTTCCTCCAACAAAGAATATTCCCAGTCCCTTGTTGTCGGTTGATATTTCTATTGTGGTATCTTTTCCTGGGTTGATGGGACATGTCGCTATATCGACAGGTGGTTCTAAAAAAACATTAGTCAGTACATTTGGCATTGATATTTTTTTCTTTTATAATTTTGTTTTTTTCTTTTTGTGTTTATATTAAACATAAAACATAAATATGTTAAATTAAAATTTAAAATTATTAGAACAAATAAAAAAGTTCAGAAATAAATTAAGTTCAGAAATAAAATCTATCGGAAAAGTTATAAGACATTGATAATTGATAATTTATTTAAGGCATTTTTCAGTTCTATAAAATATATATGTTAAACATGTACAAAGTTTATTATTTTTTGGTTTAATGTTTGAGCAAATATTATTTTAATATTTCGTTATATATATAATTATCTATAAAAAGCCTACACGTTGAATTGAAAGTTTAAAAATAAATGCATTACTAAGAATGTAAATAAACATTATTTATTTGATTAGAAAAAAGAAAATTTATCGATATAAACTAAACTATGCAGAACGTTTTAAAACATTAAAAATGAAGCCAGTGTTAGATAGTGAGAAGCAAGCAACTTAATGGAACTTATAATGTAATCAACCAAGTTTTTTATTTCGACAAAACATGTATATATATTTTTTTTAAATTCAAATGAAAATGTTTACTCAAGCCACTGGTAAAGTAGACGAACTTATTATTTTTACACATTGTAAAGATATAAAAAAAAAATTAAAATGTATTGCTAATTCCTAATTTTTTAAACAACATGTTTTAGCACTTACCAGGTACAGGTGTAGTAGGTCTAGAAGTGGTTTTCGAAGGTTTAAGTCCAGAATTTGGTGCAGACGATACAGAATTTTTGTCGTCTTTTTTTCCAGGATTCGACACCACCAGCGTCACTAATCCTTCGGTCCTTTTTAGCAGATTTGCAGCCTAAAACGTTCAAACGTAATAACAAAATGTTTCACTGTTATTAAGGTAGATACCTTGAACATATCAATGATACCAAAACTGTGTAAATGCGCGTTATCTTTATCGCATTAAAGGTTAGCTTTTCGCTTTCCGAACATAATTAATCTATTAAATGGCAGCGGCAGTTGTGTGTGCATAGGAATAATTTTCGGTAAACAACATTGTTGAATACACTAATAACACTGAAAGATAACGTATAGGTACGCGTTATTGGAGATGTGCTGCGCGGTCTAGTTTTAAACTTTATATATGTATGTTTTAAACTTTATACATTTACTTTATGTATGTACATATATATTACAAATGTTTGTCGCCTTGCTCCTCTCTCTATTTTAGAGCACTCTCGTTACAAGGGTCTTGTAACGAAAGTCGAAACTAAGTGGATGCATCGAGCAATCGCTGCCAGTCGGGGTTGGGACATGCAATTTTTTATTTCATATCTATAGATTCCAAATATATATATGTATACTTATATGCATACGAGTTTGAATTCAATTTTTTTTTACTACGTTGCATATTTTGAAAACGATACAGAATTTTAAAAAAGCAAGATACAAAACGCATCGATAAGCTTAAAAGAGGCATCTAACAGATTTGTCAAGAATTACGAATTAATCCAGCATTTTCAATATTTTTTTAAAAGTATTTCAATCGTTTTGAAAATAGATGATAAGTGCATACTAGAGGTGCTAATATTAATTTAAAAAAAAATAATTTTATGAACTTTAATAAAATACGCTAATTTTATAACTGGTTTTATAACCAGTACAAATATTATAACTGTTCAAGGGTTTTTCGAGAAAATATCCTTAAAGCCACAATCCACACAACAAGATCTGTTCTATCTCATGCTAAAAATACTAAAAATCACTGCAACACTGCACAGAGTTTAACGGCGGCCATTTTTGTTGTTTACAATTCTCGTGCTTTGGGTTTGTGCTGTTTAATAATTGTTTTAAACGTTGTGTTTCTTACAGAAAGCCTCAAATAAGGCCTTTAAGTGCTAAGGACAACCGTTTTACTCCTCTTTTATAATAAATATACTTTATTCTATCAGGGCTGTCAAATGACAATTTGAAGGTTAATTTGTGGATTATAATTTAACTTTAAAATTTAAATTTGACAGTTTTATGACAGCCCTGATAGAATAAAGTTTATTTTTTACAATAGAGGAGTAAAATGGTTGTTCTTAGCACTTTAAGGACTTTTTTTAAGGCTTACTATGAGAAACACAACGTTTAAAACGATTATTAATCTGTATAAACAGAGCACAAATCCAAAGCACAAAAATTGTAAACAACAAAAATGGCCGCCGTTAAACTGTGCAGTGTTGCAGTGATTTTTTGTATTTTTAGTACGAGATAGAACAGACCTTGTTATGTGGATTGTGCTTAAATCCATTTTATTTAATAATAAAAAACGCACGAAAAAAAACTTTTATAGGAAATTTTTTTTAAAGTAAATAAAAAATATGCTGTGAAACACCGTATTTTTGTTAGTATCAAAAAGGGGTCATTTTTACCGACTTTGAAGCGCTGTATCTTCGTTACTGTTCGTTTGATTTGTACAAAATTTTCAGGGTATACTAACAAAAATACGGTCTTACACAGCATATTTTTAATTTACTTAATAAAATCCCTAAAACTTATTTTTTTGAACGTTTTTTTAATTATTAAATAAAAGGCATTTAAAAACCCTCGAACACGTTAACTGAGATATAAGTTGTATTTGTATTTTTATACAAAATTTCATAAAGATTGGTAAAGACGTTATAAAGTTAGAATTTTTTTATTGTTTTATTTTAATATTAAACACTGTTTAAAAGTTTTTTTACTTATTATGCGTTAATTTTGACGCTCAGTGTATTATAACATCGTGACGTCACGCTAACGAGAGAATTAATCGATTTTAAGTAATTTTTAAGAAAAAACGGTATGGTTGTTTTAACTGACTAATTTTTATGAAAGAAGTAGTTTCACATTGATTTTTGACATCATATCTCAACCCCATTGGGCGCGATGACTTCCACTAAGTAGGTACTCTAATTTACGTACGTTACATAATTTAAATTCCTTTGCCATAAGCTTAACGTGTTTAAAAGTTTTTACGAATGTTACAAATTATACTTTTTATTCAAATACGATTTTTTTACGTGCGTTACAATGTGTTACAAATTATATGTGGGTTTACATATGTAACAAGTTAGATTTTTAAAGAAAATCAATTAGATCATAAATTAATATTACTGTATTTGTAATATTACTCTTTTTACAATTTTACAAACATTAAAATCTTAAAAATAATGTTACATATTACGCATGTTACAAATATTAATTTTACAGAAAACAATTTTATTTTATGATTGTTAATGTTTTTGTAATTAGGCATGTTACAGACGTTTTTAAGCATGTAAAAGGTGGAATAATTTTTTTTATATAATGAACTAATGTTACTTTAGTAATGTTACTTTAAGTTTTTTTTTTTATTTACAAATTGGGACTGCATCAACCTCCAAGGGTTATTAGCAGTATACATATACAAACATAGATATATTAGATTTTGTTAAATATATTTATCGATCTTAGGAAGTCCAGAGTTTTTTCAATTTGCGTGCCCAAAGCCGTCTCCAAACTATCCGGGATGTGGTGCAGTGATCTTTTTCTATTATATTTCGGACATTCTAGAATTATATGGGATACGCTTAGGGCAGTGTTACATTCTTCGCAAAGGCTGATGGGTTCGTTTTTGAAGATGAAGCTATGCGTGATGGCAGTATGACCGATTCTAAGGCGATTTGCTACTATTTGGTTTTTTCGACCTGGAGGAGTTGATAATTCTTGTCCGATTTGTGTTTTAACTGCTTTTAGCTTGCTGTTATTTGTTGCCCAAAGTTCTTGCCATTTTCCATTTACAAAATTTTTGATTAGGGTGATGTGGTCTTTGTGTGGAATTTTTTTAAACGATCAGCTTCTTCGTTACCTTCGATGCCAACATGTGAGGGAACCCAGAGAAATTTTATTTTATTGTACTGATTCTTTTGCATTTCTTCCTTTATGGTTTGAAGGATTGGATGTTGTGGGTACACTTGTTTGATTCCCAGTAAGGTGCTTAATGAATCGCTTATAATCAAGAATTTACCTTCTGAGTGGAAGCATATCTTTATGGCTTCTAGGATTGCGGTCATTTCTCCGGTAAATATACTGCAGTATTGGGGGATTTTGGTGGATATTTTAATTCCATCTCCAACAACAGCAGTGGCTTGTCCAGTTTTAGTTTTGGCAGCATCTGTAAAGATTAGTTTGGTATTTGGGAATTTTGTAATTGGGGAGCGATAGGTGTTGTGAATAATTGTTGGATGTGTTGAGTGCTTAGGATATTTTGTAAGGGCTGTATTTATTAATGGTATTGGGATAGTCCATGGGGGGTAATTTAAAGCTGGTTTTAAGGAAAGTTTAAATTGATTTATATTAAAGTTTGTACGGCGTAGTCTTTCATAGAAGGGAACTTTACTCGAGGATATATTGTTAAATAGGTCGTAATAGGTATTTGGGAAGGCAACCTGGTATGTTTGTTGGGTTTATGGATAATCTAGACGCATATTTTAGTGTGTTCATTTGTCGTCGAATTTCCGGTGGCAGGTCGTGAGCTAGAACATATAGGCTCTCAACTGGGCTTGTTCTAAAGGCTCCCAGTGCGATTCGCAAGGCGGTGTTATGGATAATTTCTATTTTCTTTAAAGCTGTTTTACTTGCTGTTTGGTAACAAATTGATCCATAATCAATCTTACTTCTGATAGTAGTTCTGTATATACGTATCAAATTTGTGGTGTCTGACCCCCAGGTATGATGTGAAAGAATTTTTAGTAAGTTCAGTCTCTTTTGGCAGGATAGTAAAAGGTTGTTTAATTGAGTTTTCCAGTTGAGTGCTCTGTCAAAATTTAATCCTAGAAAATGTATGTTGTCTGTCTGTTGTATAGTTTGATTGTTAATATTTAAAGTTATGTTATAATCTTTTTTCTTTTTTCTAAATACTATAAAACGAGATTTTTCTTCGCTGAATCTAAATCCTGTTTCTCTGGTCCAGTTTTTTAGTTCATTAAGAAAGTTTTGTAGAAGTTGTTGGACTAGGCTTATGTTTTTACTTTTCATATACACTACTATATCGTCTGCATATAAATTAGCTTTAAGCGTTAATTTAATTCTTTCTGTAATGCTATTTATAGCTACCAAGAATAGAGTTGTGCTCATGACTGATCCTTGGGGTGTACCATTTTGAATATGTCTAGGTGATGAAAGATTTCCATTAGCTTTTACTCTGATAATCCGATTCTTGGTTTTATTAAAAACTTTTTAAGCATGCTTAAAAAGTTTTTAATAAAACCAAGAATGTTTCCTTGAATCCTTGAACTTTAAGTTTGTTACAAGTAAATGTTTGCGTTGTTATTGCGCATATAATAGTCCGAGAACTAACCAGAACTGCTTGATGAAACCTTATATCATACAAAATTTTACAGTTTTTTCAACTGTAATATTACATACCTTTTACTCATGCTACAAAATATATTTTTATAAAAAACAATTATATCAGCTTTTACGTTTTGCAAATATTGCACCCAGATATGTTACAGGCGTTTTAAGACAGGTGAAATATAAAAATATTAGAATATAATATAAGATTATTAATTAATTACATTAATGTTTGTCTTTTTATGGAATTTAAAGAATAATTTTTTTTCATATTTACAATAGGGACGTTGCCGAACTTAGATTGCAACGTTGCCAAATTAACAAAAAGCAACGTTGTTACATTTGTATATTGCGATGTTCTCAAATTGACAAAATGCGACGTTGTTTACAAAATAGTATTTAAAAATTTGCTAAATGTAACAAAAATTCGAAATTTTGGAGCGTTGTTGGTTTCACCAGGACGACTGGTTTGCGCAATTTGGTCCGTTATTAAATACAAACAACATCAAATAAAAATTAATAAGCAAACATACTACAGTGACAGCTAGTGTTTGCGAACTCTGTCCATGCACGACGAGGACGACATGTTCAAACTTATAGATACGGTTAAGTTTTGTTAAACACCTCAATATTTTCTGACAGAAATATTTTATTTGTATTTTCAGTTAATGAGAATGAAATTTGTTTTTTGTAATTATTTAATGATGGATCTAAATATAAATACAGCAATTTGCCGTACCCACTGGCATTGTTTTTTTTCTTATCTTATCATCTTTTGTTGTTATTCCGTTGTTAAAATTTCCATGAAATACTGCAATTTTACTACACAAATAGTCAATTTAGCTAAACAAAATAATTACAAAATTGCCGTCTGTATTCCCATTTGTATATTTATTATATCCATAATAGTAGAAAAACGTTTTTGCTAGTCTTTTATTTAATAATTATGTAATTTTTAATGGTTTTTATTTTTATACAATTTTGGTTACATTTTTAGAATTTAAAACGACTTTTTATATACCTTTAGGTATATTTATGATGACCCTGTGTGTAGAAATCTGTCTAGCTTAAATATATTCTATAACTAATTCTTAATTTTTTTTATATATGTACGTATTTAAAATGTTTAGCCATTTTTTATTTTCAAAGTTTTATTACAGGTTTTTTTAAACTCACAGGGCTCAATTTTTTTTATTTACGATACGAAAAAAAACAGCCATTTTTTATTTTCAAAATTTTATTTCAGGTTTTTTTAAACTCACAGGGCTCAATTTTTTTTATTTACGATACGAAAAAAAACACGTATTTTTTATTTCAAAATTGTATTGATTATAATAATTATTATTTGATGTTTCCACATAAATACCAATAGATACATTTGGTTTTAGTCATGTGTGAACATTTTAGCCAATCAAAACATTATTATAGTGGAAAAATCTACTTACATTATTGCCTGAATAATAATTTGAAATATTTTTTTGACAAGTTAAGTGCAGAATTGGGTAGTTTAAGAGTCCAACTTCCTCATAACGTGAAAATTTTACGAGTTCTGCATGTTGATTAATTCAAACAAGAATATTGAAACAAGTATCTAGATTTTTGTATATAGCAAAAACTTTAAAAGTTAATAACCCCTTTTTTTGCACTTGTAACCTTTTGCCTCTTGACCCTTCATATAATTCTAGGTACGAGTAGTAAAAAATATGTCGAATATTTTGAGGTTTGATATATATGCTATATACATGCTATAGCAAATATTATTTGTGCAACCACAAACAATATTCGCTACATCATAAATCCAATTATTCGACATATTTTTTTGATTTGATATTTGGATCGAGTGGTATTCAAAGGACAATTTTATTAAACCAAAATTTCAAAAAATTCAAATTAAAAGGCATTGAAATTGATTTGCCCAAAATATTCACCTCGTATTTAGTATCAATTTTTGACCAATCAAAAGTATTCGCTGCAATTTGTACTATAGTCCAATATTCGCAATGATGTCAAATATTGACAAATAAAGCGCTGATTCACTTTTGACATATGCATGACATGACATGTAAAAAATTGTTTAACAAATACCACACGAGATCTCGATAAATTGAAAATAATTCCCTAGACCTTTTTTCAAAGCAATTTCCATTTGGCAATAGAAGCCCTGTGGGCTCTCGTGTCTATTTCATGGTAACAGGTTTTCGAAAATCTTTCGAAATTTTCAATGTATTCTCACTCTCTTGTAATGTTTCTACTAATTAATTAACTCATGAATTGTTGTAAGAACGTAAAATGTACTGAATTAATAAGTGGAAATAAAAAATTACAGTGAAAATACCACGTTCCTATGCCGGTTTGTTTGTATCGTACGTAAACACCGCGAAAAGCAAAATTTTTGTTAATTTATTTGAAAATGAACCAGATAGTTTTTATTCAAGCTTGTTGTACGGTAATTTTTAAGCACTCGAAAATTGTTTGATTTTTTGCAATTAGGAGAATTTTTTATAATATTTTCTATTTTGTTAAATTTTTAATATTAATTTGTTACATTAAAATTTCTTTTTATTTTAAGGATTTAAAGCAATTTTAAATTGTTTTACTTTAGCTTTTTTATTAATACTTTTAAAATTTTACTTAATTTCAAATTTTCTATTTTAATATTTTTGATTGTGATTAAATTTTTAAAAGTTTGCCTTATCTTTTTTTTTAATTTTCATGATTTTTTAAATTCTTTGTTGTTTGTGTTTTTGTTTCCATTATTTCATAATACTAATAATTTAAAAATTACTGTAATTATATTTTACTACTACTTATACGTACATACACTTATGAAATACATATGTATAAAATTTTGTTAATTGTAATTTAAACAAAATTAAAATATTGAGGTGTTTCGTATTGAACATTGAACTGCAAAATACTTACCGTGTCGTACGTTGAACCGACCAACGAATCTTTATTGACTGCAAGGATCATCTCTCCAATTTCTAGGCCGGCCTTTAAAAATCAAAAAACACACCAGCTTTAGAAAAACACACAAACCAAAAAAAATAAATAAAAAACGCTCAACAAGCCAAACAAAAACTAACCAATTATAAATATATTTGGTTATTTTTTATTTTTTTTAACCTTTGCAAAGGCTTTTGTAGTTACCTTTTCGGCGCCGCTGCCTTCCTGTATGTCCGATATGAAAATTCCTTGTCCGACTTCAGCATGTTTTCCCTCAATTATCATAATACCTAAGCTTTGATTCCCTTGCTTTATCGAAACAGAAATAATTTAGTTTAGATTAGGATTGCTACTCTACTCTACTATTTACAATAAGAGGCCCCTAAGTCCGCATAATGGAACAAAAGAAAAAAGGTAAAAAGCAACTTAAGCTTAATTTTCATGTATCCGTTTGTCCGTCAGTCCGTTCATCCGGGAGCGCTCTTATTGGTCCAATTATAATTCGAAAATTATGACATTTTATCGGTCCGTCAAGTTTCAACTTCGTACGTCTGACAGAGAAAGGTTAAATAATTTTAACTAATCCGTCACTAAACATCTGTTTTTGACGCCTAACGTTATTTTAAGATAATTTATTATCAAATATTTTTATATTTTTTCAATAAGATTGTAAAACGAAAATATTACGTTCGTTATGTGAATAATGTTTTACTGTTAAGTTTTTATTTAATAAGAATAACGAAAAAAAAGAAAGGACAAACAAAAAAAAATTAAAACTAGAACTAAAAGGACCTGCTTTTTTAAAACTATACATTTTAATGTATATTAGGGCTAGTATATTCTTTTTATAAGGTATATTTACCTACCTTTAAATTTATTAGACAGCTAACTGTTAAAGTTACAATTCGTCACCCTAATATAACAAGGTTGCATGTTAAAAAACCGACAAATTTGAGTTTATGCTTCTACAACATTTTATGTAATCCACCCTTGACATACAACTTGAAAGTAACTCTATATATATGTATACATAGAATATACATTCTATAGAATTATTTTTAAGTGGTATGTAAAGCGTAGGCCACGTATAATCCTGTAGAAACATAGACTTAAATTTTTCGTTTTTTTAACATACTATCGCTAACAAAAAAAACTCATACAGCTTAAAAATCTAGTGTTCCTGATTTTCTATCATTTCGTTGGAGTAATTATGGCTTTTAACATGATACGTCACATTTGAAAGGTCTAAAATTAAATACAAAGTTAGGTTGAAGTTTGAAAAAAAAAATAATATTTCGTTATCCCTCTGTTTTTGTCAATTACTGCCCGCAAACGGCAAAGCATGGAAGTCGCCGTCTTGCTTTATCTCGTTCCAAATGGCTTCAATGGCTTGCCAGAGTTCGTTTGCATTGTTTGGTTGAAAATGTTCTTAAAAAAGTCATAATGGATGTGACAAAGCTCGATGTCAGCTTGACATTGACGGAAAAGTTTTATTCACACAGCCACAATATAGCTGTATGAGTTTTTTTTGTTAGCGATAGTACAACCTTGTTATATTAGGGTGACGAATTGTTGACATAATTGTAACTATGACAATTAAGCATTAGGTAAATTTAGTAAGTGAATATACTGACACTTAATTTCTATTTGTCGCAAAATCAATCCGTTAAACGTCATTAAAAAACGTATGCATGAAAATTTGAACATTTCTTATCGGACGATTTTATTGAAAAACTGACATACGGATGACGGACAAACGGATACATGAAAATTAAGCTTTATTGTTAGTTTACGGATACGTAAATGGTAAACTTTACGCCTCCTAGTTTTTTTAATTGTCTTCATGAGAAATGTGACAAATTATAACGATCTGATTTAAGAAATTTTAAGAAATTATATTTTTCTCGTAAACTACCTAATGTCAAACTGATACAAAATTTATTTTTAAATATAAGTAAACATTTTAAAACATTTTCGCCCATTTCACAGACTCGCGGACTTTTCCTTCTAATTGTATATGAACTAATGTAATGTTAATAGTAAATTAAAAAAATGAAAATGCTACAAAAATATAATATATTAGGTATATAATATTATTATGTATGTGTATTTTAAAGCAACATTAACTTTACAATTTTCGATAAATCTATAATGACCATATGCACAAAGCATAGTTAAATTTTTTCTTTTCTTTAATAAGTTAATATAAAAATATTTAAAGTTCCTTTCCGTTCAACACAACTAAAATTAACGAGTTAATGAAATTTTAAAAGCTTAACACTCATGCATTATAGTATATTATGTTACAAGTTTTATAAACGCCATTCACGCGTTTAATTATGCACGAGCGTAGCTTACAGAGCGAGTTTTAAATAAATAGTTACTTAAAGAAGTTTATAAAACGAACTGCATACCATGCTTTATCTACTACGAACATACCAATTTTTTGTTGGAATTTAAAGCCAATTTTATTTGACATTTTATCTATCTCAGGAACAGTCAAGCGGTTTTAACCTCACTTTTTTCTAATCTAATATCTGTATGTCAAACGGTTTTAACCTTACTTTTTTAAATTTTAACTTAAATCCAACTTCAGGCCGTGTATTTACTATTTTTTTAATCCTATTGCATAATATTCACATTATTTGGGTTTTCCCGTATACAAGGTATCCCTAAACTTAGTGGCATAAATTTATTAGATTAGATTAAGCAAGTCAAAATAAGACGAAAATCTAAATAAATATTTGTCCTAATTAGGTATGTTTAAAAGATACAGGATGATAAAGTGTTACTTGTCATATCAGTTTTTTTAATATAACTTCCACTATGGTAGACTTGGAAAGGTGATATTTTGCGTCAATTACTACCAAAACACATATTCACACATAATTACAATTGTTCGAGTGAACGCAATGTCGTAGAAAAAGGGGTTGCTTAAGCTTATTGTCCCATAAAAACTTTGAGGTTAGGTTTTTATACCATTTGATCCAATTTTTCGATTACTCAGTTCGGCTACTATTAAAAAGGTGTACCTCTTAAACTTCGATAAAATTATCCGTTTCCGAGATATTCGAGATTACAATAATTGTTATATCGCATTAAACGACTAAAAGGTATATGATAACAAATTTTTTAATTGAAAAATCCACAATTTTTTTAATGTGACGGTCAGGGCAAAAAGTCCCGAGGCTCATGGAATGACCTTTTTAGTTTTTTCAATTAAAAAATAAAATTTGATATCATATACCTTTTTATCCTTTTAAATAATGCGATATAACAATAATTATTGTTGTAATCTCGTCTCGAATATCTCGGTAACGGTTTATTTTATCGAAGTTTGAGAGGTACACCTTTTTAATGGTAGCCGAACTTTGTAATCGAAAAATTGCATCAAATGTTATAATAACCTAACCTCAAAGTTTGTATGGGACAATAAGCTTAAAGCAACCCTCGTTTCTACGACACTGTGTTCACTCAAACAATTTTAATTATGTGTGAATATGTGTTTTGGTAGTAAGTGACTGTTCGCAAAATATCACCTTTCCAAGACTACTATAGTAGAAGTTATATTAAAAAACTGATATGATTAGTAACACTTTATCACCCTGTATCTTGGAAACAAGTAATTAGGAAAAATATTTATTTAGGTTTTCGTCTTATTTTGACTTGCGCAATCTTTTCCTAAATTTATGCCAATAAGTTTAGGAACACCTTGTATATATTTATTAAATCTAAATTAAGAAATTTATGCAAAAAAAATTAGACAAATATCTATTTGTCACTTTACTTTAGTTAATTGTATTCAAATGTCAAAGTGGGACTTTTGGGTGTGGAGCATAGAACTTATTTATTTCTGTTTTTTTGTGAAAAACTCTTTTACGTTTAATTAAATGTAAGAATGAATTGTTACATTTATAATGTTTAAATTCAAATTCCGCCATTTGGAATAGTGTATTTCCTTATTTCAATAAAGACGTTTATGTTTATTATTATTATTAACAAATCTTAACTATCCCTTCTGCATACGGTTAAGTATAATGTTTACAGATAATTTGCACCGTTTAATGGGTCTTTAAACAAATTCGGTATTTTAACTTTACCCTCTACGCTAATGGTTCTCGTTTAATGGACTTTTTTGTTTCATTAAATTCTCGTAAATGTTTTCAATTAACATGCTCACGAAAATTTAACACGAATTGTTAAAGCACACACAAAATTTTGTGAGTTATAATGCTGCGAGTGCGTATAAAGGGTGACCAAAAATTGCAAAATTTTAGAATGCTGCGTTGACAAGTTTTTCAAAAAAGGCAACGTTGTTAAAAAATAAAGCTTTGCAAAATGTAAGTCGATTTTTAATAAAAATTGAGAATATACTTACATATTTAATTTACCAAGACTTTTTTGTATATTTAAAAGAAACGTTGCCAAATTAGCAAAAATGCAATTTAAATACATTTTACAATCTTTATTTGCGACGTTGCCAGATTTGCGGTTACCTTGTTTGGTGGCGTGTTGGGGTGTGAATGAAAATCATAAAATTTATTGAACGAAAAAAATGAAATAATAAGAGAAAAAATGTAAGCCATACCTTTTTGATAGCGACGGTGCGAACATTCGGATAGCTTTGACTAAACGATTCCTCCGACGCCTGTAGAAACAAAAATAACCTCAAACAACACATAGCAAATCATGCTTCTGCGATAAAAACAACAATAAAATGTAACACGGTTTTCGAAAGCTCAAAGTATTTGTAATTGATGTAACGGATAAAACCGTTGGATTATGAAAAAAAAAATCAAAGAAAACTTCAGCCCCGGTGCTCGGCAAGCAGATGCAAATAAAAATACACTTCGCTTTTTATTATTAGGCGCTTTGTGAATGGGAAGTTTTTTAAAGGCGACCTTCGTTGATACCATTACATCAAATTATTCAATTTACCGCGGCAGTCGTTTGATTTTTTAATAGCTTAAGCGACAATTGACATTCTTCTTTGAATCTACACGACATTAAGCGTTAAATTAAGTTTAAACTAACTTATTTTGCTCCGGGTACAAATTTCCGCCTTAAGGCCGTTTTGCAAAAGAACTTAATTTAAAATTAACATGATTTATTATACAGGGTAATTCAAAGGAACCGTGATAAATTTCGAGAGCATATTCTAGCAAGATAAACGTACGAAATTTAAAAATTTCGATAGCATGATTTTGTCGCCCGTAATTTTCCAAAAAAAATTATTTAGATTAGATACCTAAATAAAAATATCCTATTTAATTTAATAAGGGGTTTACAATTTAGCCGGTTAAGCCGGCTAAAAAAGTTAGCTAAGTTAATTAGCTAACTAACTCATCAGCTTAGCTAATTTAACCGGTTAACTAAATTAGCTTAGCTAATTAGCCGTTTAGCCAGCTAATTAGCTGAGCTAAGCTAAATTAACCGGTTAAGTCGCCAGCTAATTAGCTAAGCTAATTCAGTTAACCGGTAAAATTAGCTAAGCTGATCAGTTAGCTAACTTTTTTAGCCGGCTTAACCGGCTAAATTGCACAGCCCTAAATTTAATACAAACGCTAAAAAGTAAAAGTGCAATTAACAATAAAAAATCAAGAGGTAACATTTGTTTGTTATTAAAAGATGAACATAAAATTGCCTTAAAAATTTTATAATTCAGTCTATAAAAACGTAATACGCTCTCGAATTTATTGTGTAACCTATATTTTAAATTTTACAGTGTAATTACACTGTGCGACGAAACAAAAGGTCAAATTAATAACCAAAAATTTCACACCTAATATAGTTAATATACCCTACAGGAATCGATCTTCCAATAAGTTTCGCACGCTTAGCTCAATTAAGCTATATACAGTGTCCCCGAGTCGGGTGGCCAATAAGAAAAACTTATCATGCTCTCTTAAAATGAATTAGTCAAAAATAACAAGTTATAAGTCATATTTGACTAATTGTCATAGCGAAAAAGCAGTCACTAATAATTAGTCAAATTCTACTGAATGAAGTAGTCAAATTAGTAGATTTAAATTTAAAAAAAGTTTTGACCCAGCTGGGGATTGAACTGTCACTTGTCAAACTGTTGTCATAACCCATTCGGCTATCAGCCGCTCTTATAAAAATCAATTTTATTTGTCAATAAATATTGTTCATAATATTTTAAAGTTGAATATATTATTTGTGTTGCTGTTTTGAGCTAAACTGTTTGCATTTTTATTTGTTTTTATGGGTCATTTAACTATGGAGCTTAGGTATGCATTTAATGCGTGGAGCTTAGGTATTCATTTAATTCAAATAATACTTTGTTGTTGGCCGCAAACGATTAAAGAAATTAGTTACTTTTAACTAAGTCAAAGATGGTGACTAATCTTAAATTAGTCAAACTTCAACTATTTACGTAGTAAAATTTTATTAGTAAAAAAATGCTGCTACTAATTCAAATAGTAGAATTTTGACTATTTTATTTTTAGAGTGCGTTTTTCGAAAAAATATATTCTTCATAAAAACTCCTGCTTGCTTAAAAAATAGGATTCCTCAAAAAATTTAAATAAAAATTCTTCACGACAAAAGGACCTTGCGTTTTACAGAAAAATTCTTTATAAAAACTTCTGATTGTTTAAGAAATAAGATTACAATAAAGAAATTGAATGAAATGTTTAGGGTCCTCAGAAATTAAGAGAATATTTCAGGAGAAAAATAAAAACATATTTTAACATTTCATTTTATTTTGTATTTAAAAAAAATACTTTTATCATTTCATTTTAAAAATTAATAAATAAAATTAAATGTTAAAATATATTTTTAATTTTATTTTTTATTTTAATCTTATATAAAGTAATAAATAAAGGTACCTACATACTTAATTTTCTAAAGCATTTTCATGTTTTTCTAAGAAGATTTTTTATAAAGAACCAAACAGTTTTTTCTATTAGAACCCGATCCGGGACACACTGTATAATAATTATTGAGCTATGCTATCGAAACCCCTTGGGGAATTGATTTAATTGGCCTATATTACCTATATTGGGTGTACAATTTGCGAGCGGTTTTTACAGACAAAACTCCACGTTTTTTATAGTTTGTTAATTTTAAAATTTTACTATTCGATTTATTCAACTCCGATTTTTATAGACAACAATAAAGGAATGCAATAGATAAACAATCAAGCGAATTGTAAATTAACTGAATTCTAAAATCATTTGTTTCCCGGTTTGATTGATTTTGCTAATTCGCGAATAAATTTAAAATTTAAATTCGGCTGTTACCGTTTACATTAAAAATTATCTAAATTATTTATTCAAAGCGTGCTGTGGCCGTGAATTATATAAAATAGTATATTGATGAAAAAATCGTTGGCGAAACTCACCTCTTCGGCCAATGAGACTGGGAACTGGGTGATAGGCTTGACAGCGATGTCATCGATGGCAGTTTTTCGCCTAAAAAAAACAAGTTTTGTTTAATTTTGAGATTTAAAAGCATTTACTCTTGATTTACCATAAAACTGTTCATAGAGTACGGTTAAATGTCATCGATTTTAGCGGTGAATGATAGATACCTATATAAATGTACAAATGCTTCTTGCAGAATTATTTAATTAGGCAATTATTCAGCGCACCCAAATTACCCTAGAAAAGTTGTTGGCTACCATACAAACAGAAATATTTATTTTGTCGGTCAGTGTTATTGTCCAAAATAAACATTTATGTTAAGTTTATATGCTTCTTATGTATGATTTTTATTTTCTTACAATTTAATTTCTACAAGGTTTTTATTAGGACTCACCTTTGTTTAATCAAGGGTTTTAAGTAGGGAGAAACGGTAAAAATTGGGAAAACCCCTTTTTTTACTTTTTTCCCCAGGCCTTGGAAAAATAAGCTTTTTTGAGAATTATTTTTTTAAATATACACGTTTGTAAAAAAGTAGCAATCAACAACTTAACATTATTTTAATTTAAAAAAAATATAATTTTTTACAAAAAAAACTAAACAATTAAATTAAATTGATTTAAGAAAATATACGTAAACGCGAAATATCCTTTTTTACAAAAAAACTAAACATTGAATATGTCAAAAAATTTGGCAAATTAAAGGAGTTTTTTGAAAAGGAGATATGAATATGGAAATGGAATAAATAAAAAAAATATTGAAAAGAATGTTAAAAAGTAGCAAGTATTAGCTGAACTTCTAAAAATCTATATATTAATGCCTAGACAAGGTATTTGGTTACCTAGCTTACTGGAAAATATATAAATGTAAATATTAATATTCATTAAATAAATAAATAAATAAAAATAAAATATAATTTAATTGATTTAAGAAAATAAACGTAAACGGGAAATATACTGTCGGTTGTTTTTTTTGCAAAAAGAAGTTCATTAAAAATATCCAACTACAAAATAATGAATGATTTATAAAGTTTAATTATAAAATTATAATTTTATAAATCGAAGTTTTAAATAAAAAATATGTTAATACAGCACCGTACCTATATGTTTTTTTTTGGCCAGGTAGAATATTCTTAATAAATTAAAATTAAAGAAATAATTAAAATCATAATATTATGATTATAACACAGCCACACAAAGAAAAAAAGTGTCGTGATCTGGGGATGCGACATATATATATACATATGCTTTCCTATGGATTTTGACGCGCTGAATCCGAATCCGATGTCAAAATTTGTCCTCCAGGTCCTCAGCGTCGAAAATTCTCGATATCAGTGGAAAAATTTGGAAATTTTTAGAAAAATTGACTTTTGCATTTTTTCGTATTACCCTTTGAATAAAATTTAAAAATAAAAAGGTCATTTTTTTCGTTTTTATCGAAAAAAAAACGGCTTTTTTCGAAAATTTTAAAACCCTAGTTTAAACCCTTTATACACGGAGAGAAAAATTTTGCCAAAATAACTATCCAAAGTATTGTTAAATGACGTATAGTGAATTTAGTCAACTGTTTTATTAAACTGAGGATCTGTATAGCCAATTTAGCCATACAAATCCTCAGTTTAATAAAACAGTTGACTAAATTCACGATACGTCATTTAACAATACTTTGGATAGTTATTTTAGCAAAATTTTTCTCTCCGTGTAGACATAGTTGTCACATTTTCTATATACAGATTTAAAAACTATCAAGTAACTTGTTTTATTTGCAGTTTATAAAACCCTATTTTATTAAACTTGTAACAGCTGAAATTCCTATTATATACTACACTGTATATATTTAAATCTCTATATATAGTTTTTTAGTAAAAACAGAGTAAATTTTACAAATTGCATACCGTAAACAAAATGAAATACTGTGGAAGTATTAAAGTTAACATGCATTACAATTAGTAGCTACTTGCTACATTTACTAAATCTACACTGCTTAAAAACTAGTTTTTCAGGTAAAATAATAACGATATTAAAGATTATTAAAACAAATAAACGGGGAACCTTGAAATACGTTAAACTACATGGAGAGAGTGCAGCGGGTTCAAATAATAAAATACATTAACATATAATAACAGGAGGACACGAAATTGGTGCATGAGGGTTTAAGATCTGTTTTTGAACCTATATTTTCTTTTATATTTTTCGCCATTTTCAGTGAGAAAATATTATATTGTTCAACGATTGAGAAAGTTGGACATTTCCAAGGGGATAAAATATTGCGACACGAGAAGGCGAATGGAGTAATTCATCCGAATGGAAATGTCCAGAGATGAACCAAATGACAAATGTCAGTGACAATTAATTTTTAAGAAAATAATAAACCACTGTATAATCGTCATAGTAATGATAAATGCTATTGTGAAGAAAATTTAAATCTCGTGGTCTCATTGAAAAGTAACCGTGGAGAAAGAGATAAAATTTTCTCCACAATTTAAGACTGAGACACTTTTTTAATTGAAGAAAATGTACAAATTTTGTAATATGATAAGAGAAATATATTTTTTAGAGACAACACTGGACAATTATCCAGTTTTAGTTTAAAAATTACGACGCAACTTTTAGATTATTCAAAAGATTAGAATGTCATGTACCTACATTTAAAAAAAATGTTTTTATAATGTTTTTCCAATTATTAAACTAGGTTTTTTTATCATTTTTGACATTGTAACTTTCTTTTAATGCCCTTACTTTTAAATACCCATGTAGAAAAGGTCACCATTGATGCACGTTAAACCATTTCCAACTAAGAAAATGTCATCAAGATTATGTTTTAAAATTTTTTATTGTTTTTAATAAAGCAAGATTGATAAAGAGAATATATAGGGTGTCCCGAAAAAAGCGCACTAACACGCGTATTTACAGGTATGGATAACATAACATTTCAAATAAATAGGACACCATAAAACACTGTTTTAAAGAAAATATAAAATCCAGCTTGCGTACTTGCACCTACTTTTAACTTAAAAAAATACATTAACATATAAAAAACGGTACCTATATATTCTAAAATTTTACGTGTTTCATGGTGTTTTATGTTAAAATGTCTATAAATATTAAAGTTTATCAAATTTCAAAAAATTCAGGTAGGTACGTTAAAATATAATTGTTAGAACAATTAAATGGTGTTATGCAGCAGGGAACCCTCAATTTTTATTTTTTATTTATTTATTTATAGGTATCCAACAGGCACATGACCTATTTACAGGAATAAGTTTAATGCATTGTACTTATTTATTTTAATCCCAGAACTTTCTTAATCAATATCCATATTTATCTTTATCCAAAGTCTACCCCCATCAATTTTGCCAAACTGAGATAATAGCGTCCGAAAATGTGGTTCTTTCATTACTTTAGTGTTCATTCTGGGTTTAACGAGTTAGTTTTATTTCCGAATTGCTAATTTCGTACTAATACAGAATTTTTTTATGAGAAATAAATCATAATTTTTTTAATTTTCGATCAAATAAGTATATTTGTTGGTAAGTTTCTTTTTGACTAAATAAAACTACGCAACCATGCGGCTTGGAGCTTTGTTTAGATTTAGGAAGTGTGGTAGCAGAGCTCTGTATTATTTTTAATATTTTAATTTAGTATCTTTCCGCATTTGTTAAAAAATTTTGCATAAAATTATTTTTAAAAGGAAGACCACATGCCCTTATTTTATTTATTTCTTTATTTATATTATTTACATAACTTTTTATAGCCAACAAAACACTTTTCTTAATTGGTAACGCTACACAGAAATAACGCTAGCATAGCATGAATGGGTGAGCCATTAAACCAATGGGATCTTGTAATCCGTATTCCTGAATAACAGTTCCTATAATACCAATAGATAGTTAGCACTTGGTTTATAATCGTTTACTGTTTTTAAATTAACAACAAAAGTTATCGCTCCTAAATCTATTAATATTTATATTGATATTTATTTGTTAGAATGTTATTGCATTTAAAAATACTAATTTGATTTATTTAATAACGTTACTATAGTATGTATACTATGTATACATTTAACGCAATAAATTATTTGACATTTAGGCAAAATGTTTCTCTATTTTGGTTTAATAGTTATAAATTGAGCAAATAACAATTTAGATTGCTTCAATTCTAATGCATTCAATGACAGCGCTGTTCTTGGTACTATGTTAGATTTTTTTATGTGTAGTCTATAAAATTTGTTCCAACCAACTAATCCATTCCATTCCTTATATGTTTTAACAATTTTTTCAAACAGTAGCTCTTTTTATTTTTCTTTGATTACCTTCTCCAAAATATTAATTTAAATTTTAATACATTTTAATATTTTTATTAAATTTGTCCTTGTTGCATAAAACCATCAACAGGGTGTTTCTACTCAAAATGGACAATCGATAATAAAGGTTGTATTTCTTATCAAGACTAACACTTCTTTCAATTTAACACAAAGATTTTCGAAATTAAACTGACAATTCCAAAAAACTTATTTTTTTTAATACGACCATTAATAACGGAGATATAAAGGTCGATAATATGAAAACAAAAGCTCTAATGGAAAATACTTAATAAATATAATAAATATACAGGGTGTTTTGTTTCAAAAAGGACAAATACATATATTTTTAATGCGACCATAAATAACAGAGATACAAAAGTTTCTGTAAAACAAAAAGGTGGATAATTTAAAAACAAATATAAATATTTTATATATCGATAAAATCTACAACCTTGATTACGCTGTCCTTTTGATTAGAAACATGCTGTAAAGAAATTACATATTTTTTAAATGGAAACAAAATATCTAAAAATATACCACGCAAGCCGGATTTTTTATTATTTGTTTATATCTCTTCAAATACTACAATTTTAGACAGGTTTCTCATATATCTAAAACCACGGTATGTTAGGTAATATTTTTATTGGATTTCGACAGTTGATTGTAATTTGTCTCAAAATTTCAGTGCAAACATTTACATTTACATTTAATATTAAAAACTGTTAAAAAATAAGAAATTAATTTCTTATTTTTTAACAGTTTTTAATATTAAATGTAGGTATAGAGTTCTAAAAATAGTAAATATGCTACCTTATGTGTATATACGCGCTTTATTTGATTTATTTATTTAAGTTTTGACTTAACATTACTGTGTAAAAATTGGAGGTTACTTCATTTACATGATTTCATGATCTGGAGCGGTTCAAATAAACCCAAAAACAGATCCTAAAATGGCGGTACCATTTTTCGTGTACCCCAGTGTTATCAAAGTAGTAAAGTTAGGTTAGGAGTTACCTTAGTATAATAACTTTAAATATTGGTCCGGATAGGCCTTTAATGATAGCCGAAGCGTTTAGATGACAGCGACCGTGTAAAACCACACCATTCACCTATAAAATTAAGAGAAAAAACAACAATAAAATAAACACTAACCTTTTGTAACCTGCACAGCTGAGAAGGTAATTCATAAATATCACATAACTAATCAACCTTCTCTTATCTTACATGTGAATAAATCGTACACACAAAGTTTAAAGAGTACTAAAAATACATTGATAATATCGCGGCGGCGGTCCCTCGCACACTACATAAACTACACGCGAAATAATCGCGCGACGTTCAACATATTCGTCGTATTATCTCCGGTCCGTGGCTCGTTATTTGTTTCCAATGTGCCTTACCACGGTGCCCGAGCACACGGTGCGGTATCGTCGTCGAAGCAGGCGGTGCAGTTTTCTATGTATGTGTCGCTAGGCAACAGCGAAGCCTGCTTCGCGATTCCGCGCCACGTTTTTGCGTTTCGCGATCCGCGTTTTGGCGGTTAATTTAAATTGGACTAGAGTAGGGATTCACAATATATCTTAGTGTTTATAATTTAATTTGTTTAAGAGCCGGTTTATCAATATCCAGTTAAAGTTGCAGTTACTTATCTGGCAGATAATCTCCATGGATACTATTTTTCTCGCAAATATCGATATGGAATTTAACTGTCAGATAGACTAATTGGAACTTAACCATCTCTGCAGAGATTGATAAACCGGCCCTTATTCATACATTACCAATGATCCTCGTTTAAAGTATTTGATTAAAAAAATATACGAATTTGAATATTTTCATCAAGAACAGTATAACAGTATTCTTGGTTTGCATATAAAAAACGATTTTTTCACAATATCGCAAAAACCAGAGCTAAGCAAAAATCATTTTTCAATTAACCCAACCCAAATTACCCTAGTTGGCTACCCTGTAGGGTAAAATAGTATATTATTAAACGAGAGATAATGCAGGCTATTATTCACGAGGATGAAGACTTAAATCATCCAAGTGTATAAAGCGCATCTCGAGTGTAATATAAGTAGATAATTAAATGATTTTCAAAGTTAAATAAATAAAATCTGACATCTGTCAAATGCTTAACCTCACTTTTTACCAATTTTAAATGTTATTATAGTCGCCTTCTTCCAATTTAAAACCCGATTGGTTCAAATCACAGTAATTATTGAAATTGGCCAATCACTGATGCCCAACGACGTGAATAATGAGTTTATTATTCTCGTTGTTAGGCAGGAAATTTATAATATTCACGAAAAAACCCCAAAATTATGCAATAGGAGTAGATAAAGAATAGTTTTGTGTAATTGATATTTGATATGGCCTAAGGGGTTAGGGACCCCGTCCATTTTTGTAAAATTGTGTACAATAGTTAATTTTGATTGTCGATGTGTACTTGACGTCTGCTGTTTTGGTAGCGTTTGAAACGCTGCGTTTCAGTACAAATTAAACAATCTACGGAACACCAGCGCCCTCTTATCTTATGAAGATTTTTGTATACATGAAGTTCGGACTTCTTGTATAGGCTCCATGGGCTGAAGTTAAAATTGAAAAAGTGAGGTTAAAACTAATTTAAAGCTGCCAGATGTCAGATAAAATATCAAATCAAATTGGCTTTTTTTTATCAATAGTCGCACACAATATTTTATTCAACAAAAATTTAAAAATTCCTGTTGAATAAAATATTGTGTGCGACTATTGATCAAAAGAGGAGATCTTCTATTTCTCTTAGTAGTCGCGGAATATACTATTTATTTAACTACTATTTTATTTCTTAACTTTAACAGGTGGGCGAAATTTTACTTCTCTCACTAGTGTGCGAAATAGCATTTCGCCCACGGGCCCACTCGAGTCTTGCCTCCCTTGTTACGCTCGTGCGCCAAACTCGAGAAATCTCCTCTTTCTTCCATTAGTCTCCATACACTATTTAATTCCTTTCGTTGACAGGCCTAAATTGTTGTTCGTAATTAAAATTTTAAAGCGGGCCTTTTTGGTGTGGATTTATTTATTTCTTTGCATTATCTTACATTATAGGTATTTTTAGTATTTTTAATCGTAAAGTTTAATTATAACATTTTTTATTTTTATTATTTATTTAATTTTTTAAAAAATTGGCCTTGAACGTTTCACTTTTCACTATTATACTGTACAGGTACATTATTATATTATTATTATAAATATATTTAGATTGCTATCTTTATTTATTTAGGTTTAAAATCAAAATTTAATAGTTATATATTATTATACGAGAGTTAATGCGGGCTATTATTCAAGAAGATGAGGTTCGAGTCTCGATCATCGAGTTAGGCGAGGAATGTAAATCACCCGAGTGATTAATGCGCATTATCTGTGAGTGTTATACTATGCTTTTTCTACTCCAATTGAGTACATTTTATTAATGACAAAATTTATTATATCCTTACTTTCTTCCGATTTTAATTATCATTATAGTCACCCTTCGAATATATAAAAAAATGTGACATCTGTTAAAAATTCCAACCTCACTTTATCCCAATTTAAAACCCGATTGGTTCAAATCATAGTAAATATTGAAATCGGCCAATCACTGATGCCTGACAACGTGAATAATGAGTTCATTATTCCCGTTGTTGGGCTGCGCGGTTATATTGGTTACAATTGAATCTGTGAGATTCAAAAGTTAAAATATTGACAAAATATTTCATAAAATCAGTTGCATTTTTGTATAATATTTTAATTATTTTATAAAATATATTAATATATACCGGGTGTATCTGAGAATAGGAGCACCCCTGTAACTTTTTTATTTATAAAGATAGACACATGAAATTTAGCATGGTTAATTAGGATACAAAATGAGTTTTTTGAACTTCCGGTTTCGCAGGAATTGATACCAACTTTCGATTTATAAATGGAATGCCCTATATATTTTTACATATTTGGAATCCTGAGGAAATTTGAGTCAGACAGCATCCTCAAATTTACCTTTCGACGTTTCGTCATCAGAAAATGCATCATCATAAAGATCAATCTAGAGTGCTTTCAACTATTTGAGAAAAGCGAATTTTGAAAAATTTAGACTGCTGGGAATAGCTAAATAACAACTTTCTAAGGAAAGTTCCATTTTTCAGGCATTGTGTGAATCCATTAGAAGAAAATAAGATAGTTCAAAGCACTCTAGATTGATCTTTATGATGATACATTTTCTGATGACGAAACGTCAAAAGGTCAATTTGAGGATGCTGTCTGACTCAGAATTTCCTCAGGATTCCAAATATGTAAAAATATATTGGGCATTCCATTTAAAAATCAAAAGTTGGTATCATTTCCGGCGAAACCGGAAGTTAAAAAAATTCATTTTGTACTCTTATAAGTGGCATTTTATATCCTAATTAACCATGCTAAATTTCATGTGTCTACCTTTATAAATAAAAAAGTTACAGGGGTGCTCCTATTCTCAGATACACCCTGTATATAAATATATATATTAGGGTTTTTCATTTTAGAGCAACATTTTTTTGTTTCAAGTCCCACCTAAAAATCTTGTAGTAGATCCAAAAACAAAAAATTTGAACATTTTTTGAGCTCTTAATTATGATTTTAAGCCATTGCTCAACAGTGTTAAAGATTTTCCATTCAAATAACATTATAAATCCATTTTTTACCATTTTTATCTTCCGCTCACCACGAAGGGATTTTATTTACGAATTTTGGCTCAAGGAATCTTATGAAGGACTAAATCGTCTACGAAAAAGCCCATTGAGCCGAGTCTGTAAGTCGAATATCTTCTTTACAAATCGCTCTTTAAATTGAAAATGTTATAAAAATAACAATAAATCGTAATTATTTGCTAAAATATTGATGATAGAAAAAAAAAACGTTAATGGCAATTTTGTAGGGAATTTTTTGTCCTATAACTTTGTTTAAAAAAATTTTTTCGTATCACAAATAGTTAAACGACTGCAGCCTCTTAAAATGTAAAATGTCTTAAAATTTCTATTCTAACCTATGTATATTAGGGTGCTTCATTTTAGAGCGACATAATTAAGAGCTCAAAAAATGCTCAAATTTTTTGTTTTTCGATCTACTACAAGATTTTGAGGTGGGACTTGAAACAAAAAAATGTTGCTCTAAAATGAAGCACCCTAATATATATATATATATATATATATATATATTAGGGTGAGCCAAAAAAACTAACCTATAGGATTTATGGGTTAAAATGAACCTACATACCGAGCAAAAAATTTCCCTGCAAGGCAAAATTTTTTGCTCAATTTTAAAAGGTGTCGGTGAACTGCAGTTTTAGTGATTTTTTACACTTTTCAAGGCTTTCAAACATACGAATTTTTGAATTAAAAAAAATAATCCTAGTATAGATTCTTTGGGAAATCTTATGCTCTACAAGAATCCGCGACGTAAAAAATTTTATCTCAAACGGTTCAAAAGTTATAGTCTTTTTAATGAAAAAAGATTTTTTTACGTGTAATTTCAATGGAAAACTTAGAATGCTCACCGACACCTTTTAGAATTGAGCAAAAAATTTTGCCTTGCAGGGAAATGTTTTGCTCGGTATGTAGGTTCATTTTAACTCATAAATCCGATAGGTTAGTTTTTTTGGCTCACCCTAATATATACAGGGTGGTCCAGGAATAATCTGAAAAATTTTAATGATCGATAGAGCCTGAAAAAACAATAAAAACAAACCCAAAAACATTTTTCAAAAATACACACCAACACACTAATAGCCCTTCAAAGGCAAAAAACCGTTTTTTTTTAAATAACTTTTAAACCATGGTAATGCATTAAACCCATTCTGCTCAAATTTTGTGTAGTTAAAATTTCTTACAAAAGGCCCAGCGGCGGAGATTTTCGACCACACTGGATTTTATTGGAAAATCAACAGATTGTCAAACACATTTGATTTATTATGCCACGTTATCAGTTTAGCAACATCGAATATGCAGATAATCATTATGTGTATGGACTATGTGATGGAAATGCGCTAGCACCAGAGGTTTCGAGACTTTGAACTATGAAATAATAATGAACAAAATGTACGTGAACCGAGATTAAGACG